CGTAGCTGAGAGTGTACATGAAGACCGTGGAGAGTCGATTCGGTGCCGACCTTCCCAAGCGAAATCGTTTCACTCTATACAAATTTACAAACTTTGTTTCGGGCCGGTCGATGGGCCACCAAAACAGTGTGTATCACACCGTTAGACCTTTTCCTGTGGGGATGAGTACAGTCTAAAGTCTATGTGCACAATCCCGCTACGATTCAGGCCTTGTGCAAAACATCACGCATGTTATTCGCCAGTTACCAGTCGAAAGGATCGAATAAGTCATCGAAAATAGGACTCAACGGATGGACCATCTGTCAATAAATGCCAAAGAATATTCTTTCGAATTATAATAAACATACCCCATTAAATTTTAATTTTCGGCATTTTTATACTCTTGCAACATGTTGCTACAGAGAGTAATAGTTTTGTTCACCTAAGGTTGTTTGTGTCACCTAAAACTAATCGAGTTAGATATAGGGTTATGTATATATAAATGATTAAGATGAAGAAACGAGTTGAAATCCAGGTGACTGTCTATCCGTCCCTCTGTGCAAGCTGTAACTTGAGTAAAAATTGAGATATCTTTATGAAACTTGGTACACATGTTTCTTGGTATCGTAAGACGGTTGGTATTTGAGCGCAATCGGACAACGCTCACAAAACGCCATTAGTCAAAAGCAAATAAATTGCCATTACTAGGCTCCACAATAAAATACATGACTGTTATTTGGTAAACAGCAATTTTTTAAAAAGTGGGCGTGTTCCCGCCCCTTAATAGGTTTAATGTGCATATTTACTGAGAATAAATGTTTTAGCACCTCTATCGACAGTATGAAAATGGGTGAAATCGGGTGACAACCCCTCCCACTCCCCATATAACGGTACTGTTAAAAACTACTAAAAGTGCGATAAATCAAGCACTAAACACGCCAGAGACATTAAATTTTATCGTTGGGTTGGTATAAGTTGACTTTATAGGAACCGTGTTCAAAATTAGACAATGAGTGTGGTACCGCCGACCTTTAAGTTAAAACCCATATCTTAGGATCTGATCAACTGAGTTCAACCAAATTCAGGGCATAACATTATATTTATATTTCTATGCTTCAGTGTGAAAATCGGACCACAACCACGCTTACTTCCCATACAACACAATTTTAAATTCCAGCTGATTCTTTCACTTTCCAGTATGCAAATCAAGCACCAATGAATGTATCGGGATAAAACTTTGCATGAATAAGGCCTTTAAGGGGATCTTATTACCAAAAGTTGTCTAAATCAGACTAAAACTATTCAACCCGCATATATTGAATATGTGGACCCCAGTTCCTACAGCGAATGTTTTATCGAAAATATCGATCAATCTGTGAGATATGAAATGTTAAGATGTAAAACTGATTGAGAATTTTTAAATCAACTAAATAACGAGTAAAGTAAGTTTAAGATCGTCATGAAATTTACTCGCATTTAAGTTTGTCTCCTTGTTTCCAAGTGTAAGATCCGTCTTGTCGAAGCTATCAGGAAGACGGTAATTTGCGATCATCTCAGCACTTATTTTTTAATCATGGCGATTTTTAACGCTCACATGACCTAACCTAACTTTCCTTATGACAAAACTGCGATCTGAATGTATATCAGTAACTGAATTTCTTATCGCCAAATTTTCAATATTAATTTATAAACATATTAAAATGGCGGACAAAATCGTAGAACATTTCTATTGAAATACGTTATCTGTCAGCAATAAATCGATTAACCCTTTTCGCCGATTTGACTATAAGTGATTTGCATTTATTTGGCAGCGTGAGAAAAAATTTGCACATTAAAGATACGGAAAAATTGGAGGAGAGTAAAAAAGGATGTCCCTCTAGTATCATATCTGTGCATTGCAAAAAAAGTGCTAGCATCTTATCACATGTAACCTTTTACCAAAGAAAGCTACAAGAAACGTATTAGATAAACAATAGGAGGATCGGTATAACGAGTAACCTGGCATTACTTCAAACCGAATATGCATAAGACAACACACATGCATCCTGCCCAAGTGTTCAGCAGCGAATTCAAATTACGCTATAATTTGCTTACCCTTCTACTCTCGGCATAATTTGAATGTGTCGCAACGTCACAAATGCAAAATCGTTTACGCAGCCGTTGTTTTTTACTTCGACCCAGTGATATTCAAAAAATGTATTATCCATGATTGCATCTTCTGTTGAGATGCGCTGTCTTTCCTGACTGTTGTCTTTGCATGCTCAACTGCTGATGGGTTACCTCACACAAATTTTCATGGGAAAAGAATTTTCAAATTTTCATTTCAAAGCTTTTTAACCCTCCACATTGTTTGCGATCGCTGGCAGTTCGTTCCTCGGCGCTGAGAAAATTAAATAATATGCAAAACCCTCGTCGCTATCTGTCCCACACACACACATGCAGAACACGCGTCTGTGGTGTATGTTGTCTTGTGCTATAGGCAAATAGGGCAATCAGCTAGCAACCCCTTCACTCAATGATCTTCTCGAAGACGATCCCTTATTTGAATACTCATCCTTTGACCCAGCACGACGGATTGCGAAAATTCGAAATTTCTACATTCATGAATAATTTTCAAACTGCGTATCCGCAAATGTGTCGTCTTTTTTTAGTTGTTGTGCCTTACTTTTTATTTATTGAGATTTGTGATAGTGTGGCTGCACCCTTTGAGGCAAGACGTTATGAAACCCAACTGTTTACCTTCGTGCGCACAGCCGAAGCTACCCTGCGTATTCACACCGGAACAGAAGCAAACCAAATATTAATTTCGTATTCACATGCAAATCAGAAAAGACTTTCTGTGGATCTACAAGACAAACAAATAATGAAAATAGGTGAAAAGAATCGCATGCTCTAGCGAAAGGTTGACATAGAATTCAATCTCTCTAGAGCAGTTCTTTCTCTGAAGAAAACTCTTCTCCTTCGCCGGTTTAAAGCAACCGAGAATAATAACAAAGAATTCGTAAGCCTTTTCGCAACTGCTTCAAGGCTGTAGAAGCAACCCTTTGTCACATCCTTGTACTTGTAGGTACATACAGGAAGTTCCACGTGTTCATGGTGCGGTTTGCTCGTTTGGGTGTCCTTTTCGTTCGCTAATGCCTATGATTATCATCGGAGAATTTGTAAAAGAAATAATTACAAAAAATTTTCGATCGTAAATTTGCGATCACCCCTTCGCAAAAATTATAAAAAAATGTATAGGAGGTAGTCCGTTATATTTTCACCTAATGGGCCTTTTGCATTGCGCTGGCTGGCTGGGCGGCTCGAAAAAAACGCGTTTTCGTATGCAAATACGTTCAATACGGTGCTAATGTAGTAGTGTACCTGTGTACGTCACCATATGGATATATAAATGTGTGTGTGAATGTATGTGTCAGTTCAGCTCATTATGCAACATGTATCGAAAGGATTGATCCTTAATTTATGCATAAATGCGTGCCACCTTTGGTAGTGTCGAACGTGTGACACACCCTGCCTCAACTCCTAAATGCCGCACTACTCCCAATCTCACAGAACTCGCTTCGCGTTCAACGTGTCGAAACCCGGAAACGCATAATATGCAAATAAAAACTCAAGGTACAGTGACAAAGTGAACTTGAGACGCGCAGTTTCTTAATTTATGCACACATGTGTACCCGGCCGAAGTGGAACGCTGCCGTGGTTCTTCTTTCTACAGCCAAATCAACACGGCCATGCGAAGAGCCATAGATTTCTCAACCGCATTTTTGTTACTTGTTATTGCGTAACATTTGTTGCACGCAGTAATGGGTGCCTCCCTTCTAACACAATTGATGCGCTTACTTTCTTTAATTACATTTTAGTTTTTGGCGTTCGTAAACTCCTTTGATTGACCTTCTTTATGCTGTTATACGCAAATGCATCTCGCAATATGCAAAGCACGTGTGGGTTGCAACCCATTTACGGACCGCCTTGCGACAGTTGCCATTTCTCAGTTATATATTTAATTTAGTTGTTCTGCAACAGTTCCAATTTTCGTTTGCCGCCGGGTATAAAACTTCAATGCAATTTCGCCTGTGCTTTCCGTTTCCCGCCAAAACAGACCCGCTCAATTTTATCATAAAAATTTATGTATGCTTGTATTTACAACCATTTTTTACTTTTTATTTGGTTTTGTTTTAAATGCTGTTCCATAAATCCATGTCCGTATATTCCATACAAGATCTTTATGGCTATGTGTAGAGATTACACGTCGTACTTTCTCGTTTTTAAATCGTTTTTTCATGCACGAAATTTATTTATTTTTGCTCGTCGTGAATTTTCTTTTTGACAAGGTTTTGCTGGCTTCATATTTGGGATATTGGATTCTACTTTCTTCTCTTAAGATTCAGTGCTAAGGTAGACTTGAAAGCAGCACTTCAGATTTTCATTTAAAAATGACTCCTCATATTCTCTTAAATTCTCTTATTATGAAATTCCTGAGAAATCGCTTTTAACTAGAGTGAAGAGACTTAAAAATCTAGCGTCCCTATGCCCTCAAGTTACATTACGTCTAAAAACTATCGAAATCGGGCCATAACTTTTCAAGGACCCAGACAGAAAATAAGTGGATTCTTGTGCATATGGCTGATTTTTAACGGAACATATCAGTCAATCTGTGGGTTCTAGTGTTGAAAATAGGGGTGAATATTTTTTGTGATGACTGCATGCCCTTGTGCCAAAACTGTGTAAAATCTGCAAGGTTTGTTAGTGAAATTCAAAGAGCCTGCGACTTATAATATACAAGGTATAAGATACCAAATTTGACAACAACAATGAATGTTGAATTCCTTCGCAATAGTTTTTTATATAAAGTTTTGTAAAGACCTAAAGGTATTTCCCCGGCTTTGATCTCTTTAAATTGCAAGCTCTTCCTTATGACTACATCTGTCGGATTGTTCCACTGTAGCATATAGTTGTCATACAAACTGGCCGATACAAATCAACACTAAGATTTTTTATACTATTTTCTGCTATATTTTCAGAAATGTGCCCGTGAAGGGTATTATATAATGACTTTCAGCAGGCAAGAAGCATTTCACAGACTGCCGAATGACGAATGATGTATCTATGTTTTATCTAATAATGAAAAGAAATATGAATGATTTAATACTTTTTGAAATGTCAATAAACCAATGTAGAAAAACTTGCAATGCTTTACGCTCTAAAGTAAAGAGTTTTTCTTTTCTCTCTGCACCAAAGCTTAAGCTACCAAGTCTTTCTGTTTACAACTATCACCTTCCTTTACTCTGTTCTAAATGCGATAATTTCTGGATACGCTGAACAAATACAGTGGTTTAAACCGGAGTATAAAAGGATGCTGCCTGCAATCAGAAAAATTGTGGGTGCTACATCCAAACAGGAAATCTGAGAGTTATGACTGTGTGTACACATATTGGATTTATATTTACGAACATGTGTAATCAAAAAGGGGTAAGCTTGTGTGTTGTGGAGAAGGGTGAAATAGCTGCCAACAACTGTGACTTGCTGGCTGCTTAGCTTCGGTGCCGATCTTTACATTGTTTTGCTCGGCAAATGTTTGGCTGGAGACGAAGTCAAATGAAACAACAAAACAGCAAAACAAATAATAATTTAAAAGGTTTTGTTGACATTTGCAATTGTTGACTTTTCGCCGGATTTTCGGTGAGCTGATGAGCAAGTAGAAGTGGAGGCCAAAGCATTGTTTGAGACTACGATGGAAGAGGGCGTACACGAAAAATGCTGAAGTTCATTATTATTATTTGCGGTGAATTAGCGGAATGATTCTGTAGCAGGTCTAAGGCACTCAAATACCACAAAGTAAATGCCCACATATTAATCAGTTGTTCTTCTATAGTGAACATTCCTACTCTTGATTCGATATGGAAAGGATTAAAATTAAATAAATTAAAAGAGATTTCAGTATGCCTTTCACATTCAGAAGGCTAAGCGAAGAGGGTGCAATTGAGTGCCGCTCTTAAAAGCCGACAAAAGTTATTCTTAAATGAAAGTTTGCTTATTAGCTTAAATTTACTTTGAGTTCTTAAGTCAATAATACATAAATAATTTTTGCATTGGTATATAGTATATACATGCACATATTAATAGAGCCATTTATATACATTATAATTCCACGAAAACAGTTTCAAAAGTCCGAACACTTCGATCAACGGGTTTAGTCTGTAACGAATAACGCTAAGTTTCCCGAATATTTATATACGAATATGCGACTAATAGAGCTAACCCATGTAGCGTATGTACTGATCTCTAGCTGTTGAATACACGTTATAAACCGAATATCTCGGCTATTAATTTAGATATTTAAATTTAATTAAACAAAAAACATTAACTTGGGTTTCACCAGTATAATACTATTCACAAATATAAAAGATTTCTTACAAGAACTAAGTGGTTTGATCTAAAATACTTCTACGGCTTTGGAAAATAATACATGCCAAATTTGTGAAGATACCTCGTCAGATAAAAAGTTTCCCGTGCAAGGAACTTATCCGATCATTCAGTTTGAACGTTAGACGTGGACATAGTTTCTAATCGATATCTCTAAAACTAAGGGACTAGTTCGCTTATATACAGACAGACGGACATGGCTAAATCAGCTCTTCATTATGATCATTAAGTTGGCTCTTGTATCGATTCTCCTTTTGAATGCACATAGATTTCTATATACAGTATACTTCCTCACACACATATACGTATATAAGTTCTAGGTATATACATATGCATTTATCAATATTCACGAGTCATCGATAACAATTCTTACGTTTTGCAATTGCACTTAGCACCTCGCGGAACACAATATTTTATAATCGTAATAAATAGCAATTAAAACCTCACCCATATTTTCGTACAATGTAATAATCTGCGACTTGCCTGTGCTATAAGTTTTCGTTTGCATTTATAGGGAAGAACCCATATAAACACAACATACCCATATATGTAAATATGTACACATACCCGATAGTAGACGGGATGCTTGACATTTGCCAGCAAAGCAAACTATACAAATAGCAACACAAGTATATGTATAAGCGGTCGAGGTAATGCATTGGGCTAGTGCTGACTTGTGGAGGTGTTCTACGCATCAAAAGGTGTAAATCATGATCGTGTCATTTAATCGCGCCCGCAGATCCGCCCGCAAAGAAGAGAGAAAAAAGTAGTTGCGTCAAAGGTTGCGTCGCGCAGCTGAATAAAAATCCCATTTCACTAGGTGAGCAAATTCATTCAATGTCGGCAGATCCAGCTAACAAAACTCAGTTCAACGCAATAAATAAATATCTCTTTAGGCTGTATAAGTACAGGAAACTCAATTAATTGAAGAGTGAAATGAGTCAGGCAATGAAAATGTGGCGTGCGCTTGCGCTTACAGCTAAAAATACGCGTCGCACGTACGTGCTTTGCGCTGGAGGCTACAACAACAGGTCGAGAATAAGAAAAAGCATAAGCAGCTAGTAAAGCCAAATAGTGTACATATAATCTACAACCATCATTCCAGCGAAAAAGGCACGTCTGACGGGCAGTAGTGACAGTGACGACGTCAACGAAAACAGAAACGTTTGCCTACTTCCTGCCGACGTCCCAGCGACTAGTCGTCAATAAGTTACAATGCGAAAAGCAAAAAAGCTTTAAAGTGATTTTCGGCCTAATAAAAATTGTCTACAGTCTAGACTCTGGAGACGGGACATCAACCTACATACACAATAGTGGAATCGCAAAGGAAGCTCTGACATCTCTTGCAGAGCAGTGATCTTTTTATGAATGAACGAATGAATGAAGCAGGCTTTGCCGTAGCCGGTTTGTAATGGCTGAATCAAATTGATCTGTTGTTTTATTTTTAAGCTGCAGGAGTTTAACGTGCTCTTTAAGTCGCAAAGTCGCAACAGAGGCGGCCTACAAAGTGGCAAGGCGCGTGCGCATTTTGCGATGTACTCTGTATAATTTAACTTTTACGTGTGGAAATACGTACGTATGTTTGCTTTTTGTGGTAATGAGACCACGCACTCGTCAGATTTTGTAAATTATTTCATTGACGCTGAAAATTCGTTGCCGTTTAGTCGCTGTGCGAGTATCAACAAACATACTTTTGCAGCCATATAATTATGTGCCGGCGTATAAGTATTTATGTAAGTAAATACCTAAATATTTTGACAGTTTTTGAGGTGTGTTTGTTGCCAGCTTGGCAAGTATCCAACTATTTCATACATCAGCACATCGTCGCTGTTTGGAACCAGCGAGTCTGCACGTTATTTAAGGCGCATTTGTGAGCCTGAAACTGTTTTCCGTTTGGCTCAAGATGTTTATGCGTTCGAGCGCTTTGCTGCAAATATTGAATGGGTGTCAGAATTCTCTACATTGGCAATCCTTAAAATATGTCAATTACATTAATTATCGACATTCTTATTGCTCAGTTTATTGCTATTTTCTTCGGTATTATTTTTTTTTTCAATCGCGGTTGTTCAAATAAATTACTTGCTTTAAAGTCAGCAAAAGTCGGATGTCTCTATATTCGTTATATGGGACATAGGATTTGAACGGATTCATAAATTTTGGTTTAATAAAGATATGGACCAATACGTACAAACTAATTCCAATCATTTTATAAAGACTACACTCATATATCAGGGGTATTATTCGTATCAATAATGATTTGATAGATACCTTAGTGATCTGTCAAAAAGACGTCAATGTAATTTTATCTGTCCTATTTGGTAAAGACTAACTACCAGGTGTACCGGCATGAAGTGAGCGTTAAGTTACAAATGTGTTGGTAGGGAATATATATTGTGAACGAGCCTTAATAATAATTTTCTCTTTGGTTGGCATAACATCTGTCAAACATATTCAATAACCTTACAGTCATTGAAGAAGCAAAATCATATTTTTTCATAGTGTTGAAAATGTCAAATTTTGTAGCGGGAAGTGATGATTTGCGGAAAGCATTAATTTTTTGTTTCCATTTGAAGAAAAGTGCTGCAGAGTTGCATGGAATGCTTGTCGAGGCATATGGTGTTATGCTTTATCAGAAGCAACATGCAAAAAGATGGTTTCAACGGTTCAGAGATATGGATTTCGATGTGTGAAATGAAGAAGGTGGAAGGCCACCAAAAAAGTTTGAGGACGCCTGAACTGCAAGCAATATAGGATGAGGATGATACTTTGAGTCAAAAGCAAATGCCAGTCATGTTAAATGCTGCACAACAAACGACCGTTTTCAGACCGTTTGTCAAACTGTTAATACTAATCGCTACAGACAACAAATGGTCAATTTGAACCATGCATTGATCGAAAAACGACCAGAATGGGCCAGAAGACACGGCAAACTAATTTTGTCACACGACAATGCACCTGCACACAAAGCAAAATCGGTTCAGAATACAATCAAAGTACTTGGCTGGGAGCTTGAGTGTAAAGTATCTGGAGATAAGTAATTTTAATTTAAACATAATCAAACTTATTTTCGATTCTACCTAATTCATTCTGAATATACCGACAGATATTGACGTTAGTCTGAGAGCTTAGGGGAAATCTACCTTTCTATACATTGCCAAATATGGGCTCGCCGGCAGACTTAATAGTAACAGTAGCATTTGTAATAGAAGTCTGTTCTAAGAACTTAAAAATTAACTTAACCTAAAGTGATTCACCGTCTAAGACAATATGAAACAACTGCTGAGAGAATACTTGTTTTGATAAATTTCAGGCATGTCTTGCGGAACGGCAAAAAAAAAAGGGATGAACACCTTGAACGTATTTCAGACTTGTTACATTAATCGTCGTCGCAGACTCAAAGTCGTACCGAATTTCAATAAAATCCTACTATAACAGAACCTTAAAATGTCCTTTTATTCCTCATTTCCGTGCCGAAGAAAAATCGTCTTATAACTTATCATATAATATGGCGTATAAATTAGCGGCTGATCTTGCTGCTAGAATATATCACTAGAACGCCGAAAGGGCCATGTTGTCGCCCAACACCGACTGAGTCATAATGTATAGCCTAAATTAAATATAGAAAAGACCGTCATAGGTGGTGAGGCTATACCCGCCCTCATAACATTAACGGTTTTACATTGGTGCGTTTGGTGGTTGATTTTTGGTAGTTATAATATTTTATAATCATTTTGAGTTGGCACTGCGGTCGGCTTGCTTTTGGCCAACTAACAGCATATTTGTCTCG